TTATGAAAATTTCAATTAAGTAAGAAAATTTTAATTTTAAAACTATGTTTTTTATAATTTTTCACCCTTTTTTGTCGCCAAGCAGTTTTCGCCCCCACAGCTTTGTTTTGACTTGAAAGATTAAGAGTAAGAGGACCAGTATAATAACAGGTAGTGAGGCATGTCATCTTAGATCTAAAAAGTGACAACATTAATGTGGTCTTTTTTATTTGACGTTGATTTCAAAAGTTCATGTTCTACCGCCTTCTAGTAGTCATTTAGCACCGGTTGTTTGTTACACTCTTAATATTCTAAAAGTAATAAAAAAACTTGCATGTGACTGAAAGTGACTATAATGAACTTATAGCTTACTCCTTTCTAAAAGACCGGCAATGCACGTGCAATTTCCCTGGCATGGCAGTTGTTCATGGGTGCCGGTAGTCACTTACCATCAGGAGAGCCGCATGCTCATTTCCCTGCTATTCTATAAAAAAATAAATAAAAAACGAACAGTAACTGAAGGGCCCGAGTACTGAGCATTCGACGACACGAGCGGCAAACAACTTGAGGAGACGCCACATTGGACATTGTAATGCAAGATTCGTCCCAAAGGTTGTCGTTATATGCGACTTGGAGCAGTGTCAAATCAAAAGTAATCAACCTGCCAAGCGTGGCAAGTACAACGATGAAAAAATTTAACAAATGAGCGATTTCAAATAATATTACGGTTTTAAATTAATATTAATAAGCAATTTACCGTGTAGTGGCAATGTAAGAACATCCACTACCCCATATCATCCCGTGGGTGTAGTAAGATGCGATGGAGGGAAACAAATTAGGAGATGGGCAGCAACTTTTTCCTTGTAACGACTAAAAATAAAAACTGTGTTTACCAACCCGCTTGCAAAGCATCACAACTATGTCAAATCTCTCCTGTATGAGGAAACCTATGGGGGGGGGTCTATGTTCAGCAGTGGACTTTAACGGGCTGTAACTATAAGGGTAAAGGTGTGTTTACATGAATTACTCCAATTACATTAACAATTTGACTTTGTCACTCACTTTACCGGATATAATGGATACCTCAGAACTTTACCAAATATAATATAATACATTTCTTTAAGTTTAAAAGTATCTTAAGATACTTCTTGCTTCCTGTTTACAATGAGAACAGTTCTACATTCAGGATGTTCGTTAATTTTTTACAATCCTAAAATTTGCAATGATGACGCTTCTAGAAAGCCACGTTATATTTTAAAATTTAACTATGCAGCGCATGGCTTAAAAAGTTAATCTATAAGGTATTTCAATCAATATTAATGTGGGTATAAAAGAATAAGCACCTTTAGAAAGGAGTGAACAAGTATCAGTATTATATTAGTAATATCAGTTCTGCGAACCTAACACAGCAATGGGTCTCCCGTTTACAGGAAATCATTACTACTTCATACGTAATTCTGTTTCCAGGACACCCTCAGCGTTATAAGCAATGAATATGATAAAGCCAGTAAAGAGTTAAGTGAATTGAGTACAAAACAAATATCTAAATCTTTTATCCATGGTAAACGTACAGAAAAATTTGACAGAAACACGTTACGTGATATTAAGGTTAATGAAAATTATGCTTATTAAAATTACCCCCTCAGCATCAAAGTAATTTCAGATTGCGTAAATAAAGATTTTCACATAATCAACGATCACAACTTAAGGAGATGAACGGAAGTTATAAAAATGATACACAAACATTTTAGAAAATTGGTGAAAAACTTAAATAAATTTTATAAAGAAAACCTTTTATTTTTAAATGATGTGTCCAAAATATTAGTAACAATATCATAAAGATTTCGGGAATTCTTAACCTCATCGTCTATTATTATGATTCTACCTTTTTATAACGATTTCTTATATTTACGCGAACACTACACATGATTAAAACTACTTTTACGGATTTTATCGCGTTTATTTTTGCTTTTAATTACTTTTATTTTTTAATTCGCGACGTTTCGGGCGCTTTCCAGCACCCATGATCACGGGGGACTGAGATGACTGACGTCCCGATGTCATTGTTAAACCCGGAGTACCTTCACCTTTTTTTAATTATTGTTTTTTTAATTATTGTGGGTTTAACAATGACATCGGGACGTCAGTCATCTCAGTCCCCCGTGACCATGGGTGCTGGAAAGCGCCCGAAACGTCGGAAATTAAAAATAATCAAAAGTAATCAAAAGTAAAATAAACGCGATAAAATCCGTAAAAGTAGTTTTAATCATCTACCTTTTTACTTAATCATCATCAGCATTGACCTGCTACTGCTGCTGCTGCCTGGAATCCCCAATTATGTCATTTTTATACGTAGATGTATGTTTATTTTTGTATATGTATATATATATATATATATATATATATATATTTTTTTTTTTCTTAATGTGGGTGCTTTTTACTGAAAACAAGGCATTCTCAGGCGTGTCAACACATCTACACTTTGATTTTTAGTCGAGGATAGATGTAGATGTCTATGGTCCACAGCATCCACTTACCATCAGGTGGACTGTGTGCTCGTTTATCACCCTTATTCTATAAAAAAATACTCAAGGCACAATGATAAGAGTGATCTTTGCTTTAGCTTATTCTATTGCTGCCATCCACACGCGATCATTGCAAATGGCGGGACCCACACTGCTTTATTTGTTTATATTGTAAATCTGATTTAATGTAACGGTAAAATTGTACGAAATAATTTAAACAGTACAAAAAGTTGAATCAATTAACCAATGCATAAACATGGGAAAATAATTATACTCACTATAGAACATTAATAAATTATAACGAATTATGCTTACCGTGTCTCTTCTGTTTCATTATTTAAAATAAATGATGGCGGCAAGTTTAAGAGCTGTAGAGCTAAGCGGATAAGCACTCGCCTGAAATCTTACAGCATAGCCACGCCGGCACCAATGAAATTATTAATTGCAGTTAGTACATCGTGAGGAAACCTGATTTTTTAAATATCTATAACATATATAACTATTTACGAATCGAATCAAAGACATAATGTGAAGTCCGCCAACACGCATTGGGGCAGCGTGGTGGACATTTCCTGGCCTTAAACTCTCTCCGAAATGAGAGGAGGCCTGTGCCCAGACGGGTGACGTATATTGGCTGTAAATTTATGTTAGTAAACGAAATTTACCAACCCGCTTGCCAGTCGTGGCAACTAAGGCAAATATCCCCCTGTGAGGCAACCTTTTTTTTACATGGGGAAATGCCTACGCATACCCGCCTCGCGAGGGCGAGGACGGGTTATGTCGGAATCGCACCCGACTAAAACCCCATGGTGCTCCACCTTTATCGCATATTGGCAGGGCCACGGGAACGCTTTTGCACACATTCACGGCCCCAATAGCAACGGCCGCCCAATGGCGGCGTCTCCTCGGGAGAGGACTACTTTTCTCCCTTCTCCTTATCAAGTAAAGCGCACCAGAAAACAGGGAGCATCTTCCTCCTCTGCCTCCAACTACACCTGCTCAACGGACGCTCCCATGTTCGATGCGCAAAGGCCATGGAGCCAATAAAAACGAGCACTCAGATGCACTAGCCTTCCTGAACCCAGCGACGGATCTAGTCCATGACTCCGCCGGCAACCAAGATCCTGCTGCGGAGGGTAGGGAGAGCGACGCCTCATAATACGGACACTCTAATCTATAGTAGAGACCTATGTTCACCGCCGGACTTTAATCGGTTTTACTGTTACGATTACGGAAACGAAGTTTAGGCCCCATACTAAATGAAGAAACGAACTAGTAATAAATATAGAAAGTGGGTGAATGCATAGTGGATAATGTAGATCGTGGTTCAGAACCGTCATCTGTGACATTTTTAGGGGTGGCCTATGTTCAGCTGTGAACTTGGAAACGGTAGTATTGATGATGGTAGTTATTTGCAATGTTACAATACATAATTATTCAACTTATCCTATTATAATTATTTTATTTAAAGTAACTTATAAAAGGTTCTAGAAGCCGTAGTAGCTCAGATGGTTAACGCTCGCTGTATAGTTAAATTACGCGAACAACCCGGGTTCGATCCCCGCCGCCAATTTTAAGTGCTGATTTACCACGTGCTCGGCGGTTAAGGAAAACATCGTGAGGAAACCTGCATGTCTGAGAAATAAAAAAATATATTTTCGAAGACATGTGAAGTTCGCCAACACGAATTGGGGCAACGCGGCGGACATTTCCTTGACCTGAAATCCTCTCAGAAATGAGAGGAGGCCTGTGCCCAGCAGTGGGACGTATATAAGCTGTAACTTTATGAAAGGTTCTAATAAAGTTCTCAACGGATAGGGAGCGCATAACTGCAATAAATTAACAGGTATGTACTGTGGTGTATACTGGAAAAAATTTGATTAATGTTACGTAAATTGTTCATCAGTAAGCATGGAAAGTAATTATTTTAAACGACATTCAAAAAAATAGAAGATTGCTAATGTTAATTTTGAAGTGAAAACTTCTAAAGGCACGTTAAAAGTAAATTTGTAAATTTCAGATTGTAGATAAATAATATGCCCCCATACTGTTTGGGATTTGATTTTAGTATTAATTAATGAATTTGCGCCTCGTCCATCAATTAACAGCATGCATCACAAGCATGTAATATTGGTATTTAGTATCCTTTACATTCACACAGTAGCTACAAAAATGTAATGACAGACGAGTAAACGCAATTTAAGTTTTTATTTCAAATAAATAAAAATATTCAGCAAAAGTAGTTTAAATTTCATTTCATTTCTTTTCTTCTTCTAGAAATCTAAAGGGGAAATTAAGATATTTGAAGATTTTAATTAGAATTTGAAAGTCAAAAAATCCTATTTTTTGTAATATGTATGCACCAAAGAATCTTACAGTAAACGTGTGTAGTTTGCATTATATTGATCTTTTTCGAGCAAATAATAATAATACACGCAGAAGTAAGTATTATATTAATCGTCGTTCTTTTAAGTAAAATGAATATAAACCAAATTGCTAATCAATGTCAACATCAAGAAATTTTAATTTATAAGCACTACTATTGCCTAATTTTTTCCCTGGTGTACTCTTAGGCTTATTTAGAAACACATCTACATTGGGCAAAGGCAGATCGGCTTTAGGATTCCAGCCGAAGTCACTATTTTCCATTGTATTTGCAAGAGCTTCAAGAATCTCGAGCTGTCCTTCCACTTTTGGAAATTCTTGGGAAAATTTTGCAACTCGTTTTTCTAAATCTCGATAGTTTTCTTTCATGAATGATAAATTATTCTGAAAAATACAATGAAATAGATTCAAAATTAAAATTTTAGAGCAACAAAGAAAGAACGACGGAAAGCTGCGTACATTTCAAGAGATAATAACTAATGTAAGAATACCCACACACGCACGCATATGAATCTAAAACCTTTTGCAACATAAAAATGTTTCAAGGTGCATATGTGTGCGTCCAACTTTTGCGATAAAGAAAGAATATGAAAGAAGAGTGTGTGTGATTGCGTGTAAGTTGAGCATGATTTCGGCATCAGGTGAAATGCACGCAGCGCTTTATCTTTCTTTGTTAGTCTGAGCTTATAAATAAGTAAGTCTAAGATAAACTATATAAGTGATTTTTTTTTTATATAGGAGAGGTGGCAAACGAGCATGCGGCTCACCTTATGGTAAGTGATAACCGCTGCCCGTGAATAACTAAAACACCAAAGGTTAGCGCGCGGCATGTTTGACCGTGCCGATAACGGGCCACATGAACATCTCAACGGCTTTGCGCCGTTGCATACCCGGCCACCGGACGGGCGACCTCTTCCAAGAGAACTCCTCTCTATATGTGATTAGAGAGTTGAGTAATAACCCACAATGCCGCAGAAAGGCCAACCCAGACTCAACCAGATAACCACCTTTTTCCGTAGTTGGTTAACTACGGAAACAATATAACACTAAATACGGAACAAACCCGGTATGCTATTTAGCCTAATAGGCAAAAGGACTGTCCCATAGCAATGGGACATGAGGACACCCGGGCAATGGGGGTCACCCCGAGGCCCGTTACCTACACGTGCGGCAGTACGTGAAGACGACAATTAACCAAAGGAATTGTTGCCGGCTTTTTAAATAGGAATAGGCTCTTTTCTTGAAGGTCCCTAAGTCATATCAGTCCGGAAAAACCTCTGGTGGTAGTCGATTCCACAAGGAAGTATATTTCCTTTAAATCGCACGGTGGTGGACCGCTAGTCATTCAGATGGTATGCATGGTAAATCGCAAGTTTTGTCGCGATTTGCGATGGTGAAATGGTGCGGCTGGAATCAGTCCGAACAATTACTCCTCTTCGTAGTGCCTGTGAGTCAAGCCGATTGGAAAGAGCTATAGCTAAGAGATGATAGATACTGCATTTGCTACTGCTGGAGAAGGAGCTCTCGTCACGATTGGCAGGCGGATGACGTTCGCAATACAAGAAGTATCTTTGTCAGCTTTGACGCTGGTGATCGTCACCAGTTTGAGTATTTTACATTTCCTGTAAACGATGTAATTGTACCACTTTCTATCGAAAGCCGTATGATTTTATGAAATTTCCTATAATTGCATTCGTATGACACACACGGGACGAAATGAGGCAATGGACTCTTTTACGTCACCATCACACGACAGTAAAAACATTTTAAGTATAATAAATAATAATATATTGGATGACCTTCCCTACCATCAGGAAAAAAATATGGTGTAGCATGTGAACAAAGCAGAAGCCTATGGCGCTGATATTTTACAAAATATAAAAACTAAATCTTGAATTAAATTAAATAATTAATTAAAATCTATCTAAATTCCAATCATATCCAGTCTACTTTACGAACGGCAATAAAACAATAAATTTAGTAGTCATCTTTGACCTTGTCACTTTGCAGGGTCACAGGTTCAAGGGCAAAGGGCAAAGTAATTGTTCAAAAACAAATTTCAAACGTTTAATTCAACATTTTTTGTACAATATCGGTGCCATAGGCTTCTACTCCGTTCACATGTTACACCCAATTTTTTTTTCAGACGGTAAAAATGGTCATCCAGTATATGAAATAAAATATTATTACCTCCCTTCTATTTTACAAAAGTTATATTTTTTTATAATTACAGAAAATTCTTCTACATCATTCGTCAATCATTTATCACTCACATCCTATCAAAATTCCACAGCTGGACCACAGAGTAAATAATAATAGGCTGAACGTAGGCCTTTTCTATACATTGCCTCGAGGGGAGAATTGTGCCATAGTTGCCATACTTGGTAAGTGGGTTGGCAACTTTTTACAGTTGTTATAGGAAGATACTGCTGCCTATCTGTTTAAATTTTCCTCTGTTGCCTAATACAGGAACTGACAAGGGTTATGTCATATTCCCTCACCGCCACTACACAGCACATTTATAAAAAATATTAATGAAAATCAAATTTTGTTACTAACCGCTATACTTTCAATATTCTTTGTGATATTATATAAATCGCATTTTGTAGTGCAAGTGTTGCAATGATATTCAAGCAACAAATAAATAATAAGAATTAAACTTGATATGATAAAGTAACTGCAGAGGCCGTTCAAGGAAAGTGAAGATTTATTTGAAGACGGTCTGGTTGATTCATTTGAAGGTATTGAAAATCCGGACCGACCTTTTCTTCTACGATTTCTTCTGTTATAATCCATTTTTATGACGTATTAAATCGACTTCTTTACTAGCGTACTTTGGAACTTTCATGCATTACTATTCGGGCTCAAAAATCCCGATAATTAAGGGAATAACTATTTTTTATAACAACATTTTATGATTTAGATATTAGGAATATGAAACACAGTATATGTACCTACTAAAATTACCTATCAAACAACTGCTTTTTAAACATTTTATCCTTTTTGTATATTATTTAATATAAGTGATACATATGTGTGTTGTAATTTGAACAACAACGTCAAAATAGTTATTTCTTGTTTGGACGTCAAATGATTTTATAGGAGCCAGTCAAAATTGTTTTTATCTCCTTAGGGACGATTTTTAAACGTCAGGTAAAAGTTATCCATAAAATAAATTATAACATGAATGAATATAAAAGTAAAACAATGGAACTATTTTATTCGCATAATTGTAATTTTTAATTTTTTTTTTTTGTTTAATTTTATCCTATGCATAAAAAATATGAAATGAGGATTAAAAAATCGGCATTTAGAGTAATAAGTTTATACATCATTGGGTACATCGCATTATCTTAGAATTTTCCATAATGTCCAGGCTTGGCAGACGGATTGACAATAATAGCACTGGATACCTTGCACCTTTTTCTTTGCTAGTCTATTATTTTACATCGGGCGTATATAAGGTTTTCAGTCCGTTATCTATCGGAGTACTAGTCTTTCATATTTAAACCCAAAAGCAACAAAAGCCTATTCACTCGTGCTTTGAAGACGCCCAGATTGTATTAGGGCGGAAAAATAGACGCCGAATTTTTACTCTGAGTTTAACCAAAGTACTATTGTATTTATTCTGTGTAAATCGGACAGTTCAGCGAGAAAAATTGATTACTTTTGGATATATTTTTTTATATTAAATTTGCTAAAATAAAAAATAAATCTTAAGAGTTTTGTTAAAAAAAATTCAAGAAAAAGAACGAAACGCAATGCTATAGAATAAAATAAAATAAGCCTGGAAGTAGATGGTAATATCACAATGGTAATGAAAACAAAAGTTAATATACCAACTTATAATCTTTTTTTTTTTTTACTAATGTAAATACAAATGCAATAGAATCAATTTTGGCAATAAATCGGCAATATTAAACTAGCAAACTAAAACTTCGACATTAACAAATTGCATGAACAAAAAAGAAATCTATAATAACCTTAATCCAATACTAATGGTATGCTTATTGAATCAATAATTTTACCATCAGACAAAATATATATGCTACAATATAACATTATGTTTTATATTAGAAATAAGAAAAACGATTTCTTATATTTACGCGAACACTACACATTGGTTAATATTTACTATTACAGATTTTATCGCGTTTAATATACATAATTTTTAGTTCCCGACGTATCGGGTGCTTTCCAGCAGCCATGGTCACGGGGGAGTGCGGTGACTGACGTCCCGATGTCAGTGTTAACCCGGAGTACCTTCAACCAAAAGCTAAAGATTTAAACCTTAACGCCGTCCACTACCATCTAGAAACGGCGAAGCCGGCATTTCTCTTTCTAACCGAGACACAGGTGTCCTCTCTGACTGATACTTCGTATCTCTCCTACCTGGGGTACAAATTAGAACACTCCTTTGTGCCCCGTGCTGGAGTTTAGCCCGTGTAGGTCAGAGAGGACATCTGTTTTCGATGCCTCGGCAGCCTAGAAGGTACGGACCTGTCCATCTTATTGCTGCGCGTGTCTACGCACAGCAATAAGATGGACAGATTATCCCCGCACTACAGGTCCCATAGCGGTAATGCCGACACAAACCGACTCATGGACCACGTCTAAATGGCTACAGACTCCATGATGTAGCACAGATCCCATCCGCAGAGATTTTGATACTTGGCGATTTTAACGCTCACCACGCTGAATCGCTTGGTTCTCGCTTAACCGATGATGCGGGTAGATCTGTTTATGACTTTGCTTTGGCATATGGTCTGACACAACTGGTTACCTCGCCTACGCGAATCTCGGATGTGGAAGATCATGTGACATAATGCTCGTGCAGTTGGACTTCCTTATATATGCAAAATGACTGGCCAAACGTTTAATAATATTAAATCAAAACGCGCTGCGAGTACTTCCTCTTTTAAGTGCAAGTAGCGTCATAAAAGTACATAATAAAAAGGTGCCTAAAGACCCCGTATTATTATTTCAACGCATAAGCATTAACTAAAATATTTGAAGATTAACTTGAAACATTCTTCGCATACGAATTAGCTCCAGCTCCTTACCCATTATCACTCTTTGATGCAGTGGGAATGGGTAAAACTATGAAGTCAGTTTTTTATAGTATACAAATATTTCAATTTAAGTGCCTAATTTATGTGTGTGGCATGTTTGCAATAATTGTTTGTTTCTTTCTTTTGAAGTCAGTAACTCCACCTAACCAAGATCCATTAGATATAAAGCCAAAAGAACAGTTTAAAAATACAAATTGTTCGATCTTAAACTGCAATGTAAACACATACTGTTAACGGTAATAGTAGGCATCCATCATCCAATTTCATCCTGTGAGTTTCAAATGAAGCTACTACGAG